TTGACGAAAATTCGAAATTACAGCGCCCCGGAAAAGGGGATATTCGGTCCTTTTATATAGAAAAATGGCCGCGAGAGCATTCGAATCGTTTGATAACTTCCACCGTTCCCGGATTCCAGATCGTTATACATTTTTTTTCCCCCCACCCCTAGGCCCACCCCCGTTCTGTCAACTCGCGCGGGCGAGATTCTCGCGCGTTCTTCACACCCTAGACCGGTCTCTGGACAGAAAACTCGAACGGAATCTCTAAAAGCTGTCTCACCGCCCAGAAAGCTGTCCGTTGGCGAAGACAAACGAGTCCTCGGGGCGTCTAAAAACCCCACCCCTTTTAGGAAGTGGCTGGCTTCAAATTCCACGGCTAAATAATTTTGTCAGCCCTGTTGGAAGTCGTCGCGAACGTTGTCTGGTCTTTGGCCAAGTTTCCCGACTTGACCGACAAAGATGGATATAGAGGGTTAGAGAGAGAGAGAGAGAGAGAGAGAGGGCGGACGGGGAAGCTTCGGTCGAATTTATTCATGGGTCGTGTCACCCCGAGGGGAGAGTCCTTTTTCGCGAATTAGCCGGGTGTCGAAGCTCTAACACGCTTAATCTGTATCCAACTATGGCGATACACGTTCCGGCATATTTCCATGCCATTATGCAAAGAGGCCGCGCACCGGGTAACATTACTTTGTACAACCACCAGCCATCGACACACGGCGGAAGAGAGAAGAAACTGGGCGATGTGGGGCGAAAGAGTGAGACAGAAGTCGCGGCGGTAAAGCATCCGCGCTCGTGCGTACTCCATCGATTTATTATAATTTAGATTGTCTTTCTAAGAAGCCGACTGTACGTGCACGTACGTATACACATAGGACGCGCCTTAATGCGCTGCCGTTCGTTAATTATTCCTCCGGCATCCCGTAAATATGCATGAATTATATATCGCGCGGCACGAACGCGCCGGGGATACGGGGACGAATGATTAATACACGCCTGTGTCTCTCTTTTCTTTACGTTTTTGCGCCCTTTTCCGTCCCAGCGTCCAGTACCGTTCGGTTCGCCTTCCCTTTTTTCCCCGCGAGAAAACGGAGAAGTCGCAGGTTGCCGGATGATAGATTCGAGGATACGAAATCGGCATCCGCGGCCATTAAATCGGAAATTTAACCGGCTATGATACTTGGTTTGTCCACGCCAACGATTAATTGCGATTTCTCCGATTCTTTAATTCCAATTTAATCGCGAATTTAGAAAACGTAGTGGCACGGTAACGAAAATTAATAGCGCGATACTTTTATCGAATAATCGGTGTGTTCATTTGGTAACTCTGTATCTAAATATCTGAGAAACAGTGGAAAAGGAGAGAACGAAAATGTCGAACAACTTATTCGTTTCATGATAATTAATTAATTTCTAGTAATCTTGGAAATTCGCGTAGAAATCCAGGGTACCTTTAAATACCTTAATCCAACTCTCGCTGAGGGTACAAAAATCCTTTTACTTGTCGAACCTACGTGAAAGAGCCAAACGAGGTACCGTGGGTCACGGTCGGCTTGGAATAGTGGAAAGTGTCAGAAATAATGCACATTTGGTAACTCTGTATCTAAATATAGGAGAGGACGAAAATGTCGAACAACTTATTCGCTTAACTCTTTGCGGCACGGCGGGATTAAATGTGTCCCACCTTTTTGATGCACGGGGTATGCGTGGTGGGTGTTGTTTTATTCCAATGTATATTTATTACGAGCTAAAAGAGATTCTGAAGTAAGGTATAGACTAAAAAACTGGACTAATAACTGATATGATCATATGCAACTAACACTCTCACATCGACTCTTCTTCAAACTCCGTAGAGGACTGTCTTAACTCTTTAAGGCACGCTTTGGGCCCACCTTTGAGGGACATTTCTAGTCCTACCTCGAAATATCGCAATAGCTGCATGCACATAAGTTTATATTTCGTTATAGTTCTTATTTACGTAAAATAAGTTGGTAATACCTTCGACAAATGTTATAAATGAATTCGCTCATATTGGCAACATTCAATATGACAGGACAGGTTCATCAATTGTTGCAAGCAGAAGGTTTATCGCGACAATCTTTTTTTCCTGGTTTTATGTGAAAAATAGTAAAAATAAGTTAATTTTTATAAAAATTAATTCTATACCAATTTTGTTTCATTTAAAAGCAATAAAATTCCTGTGCAACATAGGTCCATTTTATTATCTGAAATTTTATACCGCAAAGAGTTAATGATAACGAATTAATTTCTAATAGCCTTGGAAATCTGTGTAGAAATCCAGGGTACGTTTAAATACCCTAATCCAACTGTGGCTGAGGGTAGAAAAATCCTTTTATTGGCGCGCGAACGTGAAAGAGCCGAACGAGGTAACGCGGGACACAGTCGGCGTGGAATAGTGGAAAGTGTCAGAAGTAATACATCGCGTATCGGTAATAAGTTGGCATAAAAAAGCCGTGGAACGGCACGTAACGCGAAATCCCGTGACGAATAATTGCCACAAATTCCAATCTTCGCCCCCCCGCCCATCGGAACGCCGGCTTCGCAGAGATTGTACGTTCGCCGGTGGTATTTTAAGAAAATTGACAATCCGTACCGGCCTTTGTGCAGCTTTGTAATCGTACAGCAGCGGTATAAAAAATATTCACCGGCTTGATTGCCAATATATCGCGTACGGCGCTGATTGAACCACCCCCTCGCGCGCGCCTATACCATCGCGTCGGCCTGTTAATTTGGAATATCGCCGGCTGTACAATAGAAAAATTGCGCTGCTCGAATTATTTATGTTTATATAATATCCCGGCCGATACTCTCAGCCAGAACACTCTGCCGGGTATGCAGTTTTTCGGCTGCCGGGGTCGGTGCCGTGTCTCTGAGCCAGCGCGTCGCGCTCGAAAATCGTATTATCGCGCGGAGAATTTCGTTAACGAGCTTCATACCCGGGGAAAGAATCGCAGCCGGTAGTCACAAAGAATCGCTCCTGGATACATCGCGAAATATTATAAACCCGCGGTTCGATTCGAGAAATCGACGGCAGCTTTGTCGCGCGCGATCGACACGGGACAAAGTGTATCGGGGCAAGAACGGTTTTCGACTCCGTCTCGCTGATTTTTCTATTCGCCGATGATTCGTCGCCCGCGTACCGTTTCATTGTTCCTTCTCTTTTCTCTTTTTTTTTTTTTTTTTTTTTTTTTCGTCAGCCCTGCCACCCACACCGCCCCCTGCCAGCCCACCGCCCCCTTATACCCTATCGAACGGCGTGTGTGTCTACCACCATTATTTCGTAGCGAAGCATTTTAACGTCGGCCAGTTGGACCGTGAATGATTATTAATCAATTTTCAGCGTTAAACGTGCCGCCGCAATAAAAAGCGTGGTACGTTAACGAACCACGCGCGTATAATTGAGCATTTTGGCGAGAATGATTGCGAGCCCGTGCTAAAACCTTTGCGTACCCGTTCGATTGATTTCGGCCAGCAAGGAGAGAAAAAAATCGGCCAGAGAGACAAAGGATGATGGAAAAAAGAGGGGGTCGAAGGGAACGACTTGTGCAGCCTGGATATTTTTTTTCTAACCGCTGAAAAGCCATGTCACCCTACGACGATGTGTACGTACCCGGTTGGAATGTCGGACGAACGTTTCGGAAACGAATCTGCTCGAGGATGTGAACGATTTGTTTATTTATTTATCTATTCGACACAGTCGCGGTGTATAAACGAACCAACGTCGGGCTCGGGAACGAATTTAGCATCCGATTTCCCTGTTTCTCCATTTAAAAGTTGCTTCTGAAGAGCGGCGTGTGACGCTCTGCTTACGCAACGCGAATTAATTATATCGCCGCGATGAGGATCGATAATTCAAAAAGTTGGCCGTATTCCTGGGAACGCGACGAGCGTCATCCAAAGTTGAGACGTTTATCGAATACCCTTGAGGCAGGTTAGGTCTGGCGATCGCGTCCGCGTTGTCCTTAAACGGGCAGAAAAGTTGCAAGTTCGCTGCGGCTTCGTCTGACCTTCGTGAAATAATCAGTCGCAGTACCAAGCGAACTCTCCTCGAATAACGCCGCCACTCGAGCGTTCCTCCGGGTTTTTATCGGCGAACCGACGCGATAATTGTGCCACTCGTTTACGTTCCAACCCCTTATTACGCGCCGCTGGAAATTATAATCGCGAGTCAAGCCGCGACCGGTGAATCGATCCCGTCAGCCACTTTCGATGCCATTCCAACCTTTCGCCCTCCATTTCTATCGTTTCGAATACCCACGCTCTTCTCGGGCTTTCCCTTTCACCCCGATCGGCGAGGTAACGATCGATTCATGGTTCGCGATCCGGTCCGGGGACACCTGAGCGATCTCGCGACTCGATCACCGGGGTGAAGCCGTCGGGCAAAGGCGTCGAAGTTGGACGCGCACGGTCCGGATCGTTTTAACGAAGGTGGTCATCGATACGCGCGCAGTCGGGCAACATCGGTAACAAAAAGTTGGCTGGAAAGCTCGAAAGGCGGGCACGAAATTTGCGACGACACATATAGTCGAAAGCACTTTGTTTCCAGCGGCGGCGGTCGAATATTTTATAATTGTTATCAATACGGTACAAATGCGAAGGGGTTTCAAACGCGGCGTAATAAACGAAATAAAGTATCGCCATTTTCGCCGCTGACAGAGCGCGTTGCTCCGCAGCCGGACTTTTCGGCCGTGTTTTCACCGGTGCCTCTTCAATCGTAATTAATATTTTTTCCCGGCGGCTGCTTTTTTCTGGCTTTCGATAAATTTGAACTGGAAAAACAAAAAAAAAAGAGAAAAAAAAACGAAGGATAAAAAAATGGGGAGAAAGAGAGGGAGAGAAACGCGAGAACGCCGGGTTCCGCGGTGCAGCGTGCCCTCTCTCTGTCATTCCGTTCCGTGTCTGTTCCCAACGATCGAGATGTAGAGTACGGTCTATGATCAGCGTAAGCTGTAATTATGCAAATCGTCGTAACTTACTATTTGGACGCGCGTTTGTTACAGGACAGCGACAGGAGTAGCGTTGGCAGCCCTGAACTGGTGGCGGCCGCCACGGGCTCGCTCCACGAGCATCAAATAATGATGGACGAGATGAAGAACTCGCGGAAGAATAGTCCGTCACCTGAGAATCTGCATCTGGCGAGACGGGCGGCTATGGCGCAAGCGCAGCTCAATGGCATGAGTAAGTCGAGATTATTTAAATAAAATAGCTAACTTAATTAGCAGACGACGATAGCCACGAATAACTGATTTTCCGAATTAAATGTATAGGGTTGATTTCGTGTCAAGTTTGAAAGAAAAGTCGTCGAGTTTCGTTAGGTTCGGAATATTTACTAGGACCAGACATTTCATCGCTAATCGTATTTGGTAGTTATTTTGCGAGCTATTTTGTAGCTAACCTCGATTGATACGACATGTCTCGTGAATTATCCGCGACGTGCCAAATGGCTAAATTCTTCAGCGTTTGTATCTGATATTATATTAATTCTGTGTAGCTTGATTTAATAAAGATTAATATTCCAAGTGGATGAAACTGACGTTAAAATTGTTTTACAGTTTTCATATTTGATATCTCGTACTTAGCGCCGCTGGCTGTGCATAATTGAAGAAGTTGGAACGAGAAATGTCGGAGTGTATATGGCTAATGTCGCGAATTAAATAATGCAGCGTATTCTTTAAATTTCACACAGAAACGAATTTAGCGTATTTGCTACATTTTCATCGTTTGCTTTATCAGTGGCAGACACGGTGACCCTGCAGAATCTTCAGAATCTGGCGCATATACGAAACCTACCGCAAGTCGCGTCGCTGGCCGCGGGTCTCCAGGGACTGACTAACAATCAGCTCATCAACACGCCCCTGAATCTCACTGTCAGCTCCTCCGGTAGGGATACAAAGTCATCGCATGGATCGACGAACTGACATACATAAAACCTGACACTCCTTTTCAATCGCTTGAATTATTCACGTTCCTTCTTTCACCGACTCAATTAAACTTTAACACCGCTACGAATAATGCAACGCACTTATGACTGTGACGCAACCATTAATCTCTTGGCGTTGAACTCTGATTCGTTCCCTCGGTTCTGATTTTCAAGAAAATTTCGAATATCTTGGACCAGGAAAGAAGTCAGATCGTCGTGGTCCTTGTGATCCTTAATCGTAGAATCCCCGAAGCTTCTAGCGTTCAGAATCCATCGTCAAGAGGTTGAACGACTTCATATTTTTATTAACAGTATCACGGAGTCATAGACGGGTAATTAAATGGCCAGATTTTCTTTCCAGCCAATGAATCTTCATGTTCAGGTCGCACAGTACCTACAGCCTCCAACACGACAACTGCACCTCATCTACTACCGCCGAGTACGACGTCAATGACGACATTACCTCAGCTATTATCTCAGCCGCAACCGGTTGCGATGCCTCAATTCATCCTAGCGTCCGGTCAATTGGTCCAAGGCATTCAAGGGGCTCAGCTTCTTATCCCTACGTCGCAAGGTAAGCCTTCTGTTTCTTATGTCTTTGCGCCCTTTCAGCTCTCGAAACGAGCATTGAACGACTCCCATTAGAGGATCGGCCGTGTACCAAGTAAGGCCGTCATCGTTGGACGTGTCACGTAAACTGATTGTCCGTCAAACCCTTTGTGAATCCGACTTACAGGGAACCGTTGAGTTAGGCTGAATCACGGTAGTTTCGAATAATAAACAGATTTAATTTCTCGGGTGGAATGTATCTTATCCCATCGTAAACGCGTCGAATACGTTCGAATACGGTGCAAAGCAGCTTCCAAAGGGAATTAGAGAATTCGGTCCGTTATTTTTACGCATTTTAATTGCTTCTCGGCGAGTCCGATTAATAGTAAACAATAGATCAGTGTCACTTGGACGAGGAGTCGTATTGACGTTAGACCAGATGGACTTTAAATGAATTTTTCCCAGATTATCGCAATTCGGTTTACACGTCGCGTCATCCTTCCTTTTTCCAAACTCACAAAGTGGTCGGCTGCCTCCAACCGGTCCAAGCTGTCGAGCTCCCGAAAACATTCGAGGCGGGTAATCGCAGCCTCACCTGGGAAATTTAATTAAACGTCGCCAAGAGAGAGAAAGAGAAAGCGGGAGACAGAGAGAGAGAGAGAGAGAGAGAGAGAGAGAGAAAGAGAGAAGGAGATGGAAGGCGAGAGAGATAAAGGGCCCAAGAGGAGAGAGTAGACCGGGTATCCCGTAGCTATCAGTAAACCAACAAGAAATCTCCAACAATAACCCTCGCACTAAGTACCTTCGAATTTCGGGGCATAAATCAGTCCGAGTGGTCTCATCGTGAAATCTGCACGATGTGCCAGCGCATAATGTTGTGCAATCAAGATGTGCCGATGTATATATACACACACACATACATATAATATATACACACATATATACACGTATAATATATAATATCATATCGACTATCTCTGACCAGCTCGGACTAAGGCTCGCCCCGTCGTCCATACTTAGTGGTCCTAGACTAGCCTGGCGAGCAGAGGGCAAACTCTGCAACTAATTTCAATGTATAATTAACGTCTCACTACCCCTTTCCAGACCCACGAATAACCACCCCTCGCCTCCTCGGGTCCGCTCCTCCTACTCTAACCCTAGTACTCTCCCTGGCTGGACATCACAGCTCCGCGGATTCGGCCGCTATTATATCGATTGCGGTTCGCGCTAACTTCGTTTCTACCAAGTTGGGTTTCTATTCTGGCAATTGAGAGCGAGAGAGAAAGAGGCTGCCACGGAACCAGAGGAAGACAGGTGGATATAGGGGTAAGGGGCTGGATCGAGAGAGAAGAAGAGACACAGGCTGGCTAAGGGGTGGTAAAGAGGGGCAAGGAGAACTTTGCGAGTCCGCCTAAGTGGATTGAAGTTCGTGGATATGGACCAGTCCTGCTAGGATGACGAGTTACGTGGTGGCAAATAATGTTTGCACTGCTTTTCGGCACAATCGATGGTAACTGACTAACGACTGATCGCTTCCCGATAAACGTCCCGCTGCCAAGAAACAGGAACACCTGTCTTACCTGTCGGTCCGACACTTTTCCTCGGGTTACCCATACGGATTTATCGATGAGACTCGACTATGCGAATCACTTGAGTCGGAGACTGGGATTTTGTCATGCAGAAAATAGAGGACCGTTATATATGTAGTACGCTGCTTTGCGACTCATTTGACGTATTGAACTTTTGCGCCAATTCGTCACGGGTATATATCAGGCGCGGGAATCCAAGGTGGATTCTACGAGGAATAATTTTACAGTCGGAACGTGATTGAAAGAAATAATGACTGAATGTTTTATCATCGCTAGGCAGTAGGTCATGAGGATCCGGATCATTGGCAACGCAAATAACGTTGGGCACTTTAGAATGCTCGTTCAAGAATAAGCTCGTGGAAGAGTTGTCAGGTGTACGTGTTATTCTCGTCGGGAAATTGAAGAAGCTTGAAAAAGACACGGGTCAGGGGAGTAAATCTTGTCTCCATTATAAATCGCAATTCGACGGGCTAATCTTAACGCGCGTTACATTATCCACCTGGGAACGTCATAGTCTTCCTTCTTTTAACCGGCACCATCTTTCTTTCCTCGAAGCATGCGTTAATTCTACGATCGATACGTTCGATTAGGCTTGGAGACGTACCTCGAGAGTACAGGGGATGCTGCTACAGTTATGGTTGGATCGTTCACGGTGCATTTTCACGGAACGCGAGGGAAAAAGCAGCGAGATTATGGCAGATTGCGGCGACACGTGGAAATAAAAGTCGTTCCATGATATATTATCGTGGAATATCGCGACTGAACTAAACGTTAATCGGATTGTCAGTTGACCTTACCTCAGAACGCGAAACTTTTATGGCTGTTCGGAATACGGGATTTGCTTAGCTTAGCTATAGGTACCAACACGGGTACGTACTCATGATCAGTAATCATATTAAGCGCGTGTACAGGGTAATCAGATTAGCGGAGCTGGAGGTAATCCCGAAACTATTCTAAGTATGATTAGGCGTCCTTCTCGCAGCCTAGTCCAGTGCCAGTACCTGTACCCACTATTAAGATGACGATAATAGTTTGCCAACTACGCTGGCCTGCGAGGTTACCTGCCCTATGGGTTGCCTAATAATCCCTCTATGAGACTCTGATAACTTTACTACCCATCCTGGATCAACGACGCGTGGACTACGTTCATAATGGAAATGAAGTATCTATTGATTCGAGACACGTTCGTACGGGGATGGGCCAAAGATAGAATTATCAAGCTCGGTCTTGCCTCCGTGAATGTCGCTGCATCCCACGTTATTAACCTTTCTTTCTCTCGTTATTCTACCAGGAATCGTCACGCAAACTATCCTGACTATGCCCGTCAGTCTTGTCACGAATAATCAAATGGTGAACCTGGCGCTGAACAGCGGCCAAGTGGTGTCTACGACCGTGGCGAACCTTCAGTCTATCCCTCAGCCGCAAAACGTGTTGAATACGTCGCCTAGCAACGGCGAATTCACAGGTAAGGCAAAGGATAACGCAATTTTCTGTCAAAAAAGATTATTAAAATTTCGCGAAATGACGTAATCCTAGCTTCGACTGATCTTGATCTCGCAAAGTGAATCGGAAAGTTGAGACGTAACGTTCAATCATAGTCCGTGGCATTCCATTGTCCAAGATCAGTCGACTCTAAATTCTCGTATGACACTCGATTCGATCACGCTTTTCTCTTTCGCGTGACAGTTCCAACAAGTCCCAGCTTAGCGACCGGATTAGGAATAAGTCCCGCCGCCTTGCCACACCTTCTGAACAACAGCTCGGCCAGCCAGCAACTTCTGAACGCGATGCAGCCTCAGCAACTGCTTCAGGCCGCGCAAGCCTCAGCAGCAAGGGCATCGACACAGCTCTCACATGAATCATTACACGGTACGTAGATCCTCGGCCATGGAACAAATTTACTCGCATCCCGCTTTCATCAACCCCCTGAGAATACTTTGAAAAATGATCAATCCGGTTTATGAAATAAGCATCTTCGTTTCTTCGGGGTAATTGGATTATTTCCCGGCTTTCGACTACGAAATCCTATTAATAGATCGTTCTGATAATTTAATCAGCGACGTATACATATTTAGAGAATCGTTTCCACCGGGGAACTTTATGCTCGATTCCGTGGTTAAAAATTCAGCGAGACATTTTTAGACGGTATTATTTCATCCCCAATACTGATCGCAAAAACCTCATATTCGAATCAGTTATACTTTATTGACGGTGATTAGAATTCGCGTTGGTTCAGAAGTAGTTCGCGAACGGCAAATAAACCTGGCGACCTGCGTCTCTCGATAATTGACAATTTCTTCAATTAGCATGTCCAATCCGCGAATTTTCCAGTCACCTTCGTCAACCGGTCTCACGCGACTAAGCAGCAACAGATGCACCGAAGTGCTTTCTCCTTCCGTTCCCTTCGATAAGCTGCGGAAAATAATCAGTCCGCCGACATTTCGCTCGTTTGCTTCAATTATTATCCATGAACGGCCACAGGGTAGGGTCTCGTCGTTCCACCGCTCCGAAGCCAGAATACTTTTTCCCCGGAGGAATTTTGATTTACCCGGGTTTCGTCAATAACTAACACCGCCTCCCGTCTCCGATATCCTCCACCCAGACGATCCCGTTGCCGGCCAGTAACAATACAAACGAGTTCTGGAGCCGCGTGGACGATATACGAGCAAAACCGCGGGTCCCCGTGAAGGTGGAAAGGGCTTAACCGGCGCAAGATCAGCGGAACAAGCAGAATAATTCCCCGATAGCAAGCGATCTCGTTAAGAAAGTATTCCGTGGCGGCGGCGTTTCTTCCACTAATTAGACTCTAAAGTGTCCCGATCCGAGAGAGACGCGGCTAGGAGAAAGAAGGAGAAGCCGGGTCTCATTATTAAGTGCATAATTGGCGTGCAAAGAGAGGCATGGAGCATTGTCGTTGCTACTGGTTGAGCTACTAATCCGTTACTACCACCCCCTGTGTCCCTCACAGCCGACGGAGAAGCATCACAGAGAGAGGCCCGAGCAATCGTCGCCTTTGAACGAGTCCGTGGCATCCGCAGCATCGGCTCTGAACAGACTGGCAGCCAGCAACGGAGAAATCACGATCACGACCACGCACGCACCCAGTGGAGCCGGTGTGAAGGCCTCGCCGAGCAGCATGCACAATCCCGTAAAGGAGGAGGAGGATCTGAATGATTCGTCTAGTAAGATCATTCGTATTTTATTCTTACTCTCCAAACCGTTCCACGGCGCGTTTGGCAGTTTCTTGCGCAAGCGTTGCAAAGAGAGGGTCAATCTTACGCGTGCAGGGGTGGGAAAGTGTTAAGCAGCTGATGAGAGGAAGATCAGTGTATATACTGAGTATTGTACTGGGATCTGAATGATTCGTCTAGTAAGATCATTCTTATTTTGTTCTTACTCTCGAAACCGTTCTACGGTGTGTTTGACAGTTTCTTGCGCAAGCGTTGCAAAGAGAAGGTCCATCTTACGCGTACAGGGGTGGGAAAGTGTCAAGCAGCTGATGAGAGGAAGATCAGTGTATATACTGAGTACTGTAGTTAGATCTGAATGATTCGTCTACTATGATCTTTTGTATTTTATTCTTATTCTCGAAACCGTTCTACGGTGTGTTTGGCAGTTTCTTGCGCAAGCGTTGCAAAGAGAGGGTCAATCTAACGCGTGTAGGGGTGGGAAAGTGTTAAGCGGCTGATGAGAGAAAGATCAGTGTATATACTGAGTACTGTAGTTAGATCTGAATGATTCGTCTACTAAGATCTTTTGTATTTTATTCTTATTCTCGAAACCGTTCTACGGTGTGTTTGGCAGTTTCTTGCGCAAGCGTTGCAAAGAGAGGGTCAATCTAACGCGTGTAGGGGTGGGAAAGTGTTAAGCAGCTGATGAGAGGAAGATCAGTGTATATACTGAGTACTGTAGTTAGATCTGAATGATTCGTCTACTATGATCTTTTGTATTTTATTCTTACTCCCCAAACCGTTCTAGGATGTGTTTGGCAGTTTCTTGCGCAAGCTTTGGAAAGGGAGGGTCAATGTTATAATCTCATCACGCATACAGTGGTGGGGAAGTGTTAAGTAGCTGATGAGAGGACGATCAGTGTATAATATACTGAATACTGTACCGAGTTGAGTAATAAGTAGCGTCGATTTTTAGAGTCGATGATTGTTTTTCAATGGTATGAATATTCTTACTTAATGCTAGAATCAGTGGGAGTCTGATATTAGAGATATCAATGATTCGACCTATATTTTCGCGTATTTTAGTAAGTCACGTGTGGAGGAACACTCGTAGATAAATTATTTCGTTTGCTCGTCGCTCGAAATTGCTACCACGATCGAAATAAGAGATCCAGATGAGCATAGATAGATACGAATGAATATTGATCAGGTAGAGAGACGAGCTGATGAAACTATTTCAATGATACTACCGAGAATCGAGCCCAGAGAAGGAATTGATCGTTGGGTCCGGTACAAGGACGCCCGAGTCGTGCACAATCCCATAATTACGTTAGAACGCGTTGCAATCTGATAATTACGTTGACCGATGAGAATCGTGTTTACCAGGAAGAAACTTTTCACCGGCGTCATTATAAATTCAGCCATTCTTCCTGCCTCGTTGCCTCGAATTACGTTTCCTTCCTTCGCCGATTCAACATTTAACGTGCGGTCAAAGTCGATAAATAATAATGTTGTCGGCTCCGGCCGCACCGCGAAGCTCTTAATAATCCTAATAGGATATCGTACAATGCACGGCTCATTACGGTGTATTAGATCGTTGCCTCGCTGCCTTCTGGGAAGCCATAAAGATTACAGGGACCGGTGCACGTAACCTCCACCACTCGCCGGACAATAATTTTAATAATTCACAATCATTGCTTAGACTGGCACTCCGTCATTCCGCGTGCCACGATCGAATAATCGTTCGACGTATCGAGCCTAACGATTCTCAATTGCTCGTGCCACGTTACTTGATAAATCTCTGGCTTTGTTAACCCATCTCGTGCCGATCCTTGAGCGACGATTCGTAAATTCAGATAGAAGAGGAGGCTAGATCGCTTAGTTTGCCTCGACCAATATGGCGTACAATGGGGTGTAAATTTTGAGGGACGATCGACGATTTCGCGCCCCTATCATCCGTCTTTGTAGTTCACTGCGAGAAGTCGCAGAGGTTCGTTAACTCGACGTCGTATGAAGTACCCTTAACTTTTATACATCCTCAGTATTAACGAACAATGTAGTCTCGTGTACGAATAACAGTTGAAAAAGAGGTCTATGAAAAATTTCTATCGCATTCTACGCTTTTGCAAACAGTATAGTGAGTTTGCATTAGGTGGTAGTTACCTCGACGCATGGAAAATCATTCAAATATAATGTAGATAGTGTCAAAAGAAGAATACAAGAAAGGAATAATTTCCTTTCTCTTCGGTTTTGTAATACAATTAAAATTTGGTTTATTATCAGGTAGAAGAAGCCTCGATTTTGAATCCTCCATCAAATATATTCAAAATTGCGTTAAAAAATAGCATTGCCAGATTCGAAAATGGACATTTTCTCGATTTATTCCATTACGACAAAATTGACAGAGTGTAGCCAAGTGTTTCTCGTAGAAAGAATTGCAGATGTAGCACCGTGTATGGATTATTAAAAAATTGGCATTTTCAACAAAATTATCTCTTCTCTGATTACTTCTCCCTTGAACGCAAAGGCGATCGAGGTAACGTTGTTACCAAGAAACGTTCGATTCCATTTCGGTATGCAGAGGATTACCGATTTTTATCCGGCTGTTCGTTAAAATATCATAACGAATATAATGCATCCGCGGTATTAAATTCTTTAAAAGCCTTCACGGGTATTTCATTAAAATCACATCCGCGCGTAAACGAGTCGTTTTAACGATTCGCGTTCCTCCCCATCGCGTCGCGAAAGTTACGCTTCCTTCTATCACTTGGCGAAAATGGCGGCGCGTTCCTCGAAACGGGACAACTCGGGGATCGTGGAAGTCGAGAAAGACCGTGGAACAGTGACGTTTTTGCCCGTTCCAGTGATTCCCGTGTTCGATTGGAAATTAATGATCGTAGGAACAGCGCGTCGTGGAAGAAGGATTGGCAGTTTATTGCACGACGCAGAAAGTAGCTCGAGCTGATCGAGATTGCGGAGCATGTGGCCACCTCTGTTGCGTACGTGTACATTCGGGGTGACAGATTTACGAGAGAAATCGGTGTAGTTAAAGCTGCTTTAATCAAGGCTCCCGATGTCATTAGGCAGACCCTCGATAGAGCTCTGAGACATCCCAAATTGATCCGGAAGTCGATGGAAAACTCGGATGATCCTCGCCAAAGCTGTTCTTGCTGGAATGGAGGCAGATTTTAGCGACAGACTAGGGAGCAACAGAAAATATTTTATTTAACTTGGTGATTCTAATACAGTTTAATACACTTTCAACCCTCGTAGCATTTTATAAGCTTTCTTGGCAGTGTTTAGGAATATTCAGAAAAATTATACTCTTTTTGAGGTGTCTGTTAGGATTATCGCGTTGCTGTTAAAAATTGCGATATTTTCACGCGTTTTTCTTGACTTTTTGATTTTGTTCAGTCGAATGCGCGACGAGAAAAGGATCTTATCAGCTAGTTTAACCAGTGAGCGATGTTTGAGAACGAAAGGAGAGATTTCGAAACTATAATTGCAGATCAGGTGATAAGTAACGACGCCACGAACATTAATCTGGACGAGATCAAGGAGTTCGCGAAGGTGTTCAAGTTTCGCAGATTGTCGCTGGGTCTGACGCAGACACAGGTGGGACAGGCCCTGAGCGTGACAGAGGGGCCAGCTTACAGCCAAAGTGCCATATGCAGGTGAGTGTACGACGTCTCGTCGTTTTCCCTTTGTTATTTTTTTCTCTTTCACCTTCTGCTATCACCAACTTGAAACGGACGTCGCTGATGAGACATGGATATGGAGAGCGACAATAGGTTATCATAAGACAGTGTGCCAGGTCACTGGAAATGGCCGGGGTAAAAGAGGGATCGAATGTTCCTCGTCTGGCTGCTAACAATCTATACATTTCTAGACCACGCTGAATCTCGATGACGTCTTCCTTCTTTTAGAGAAATCGGGGATACTCGTGGAAGGTTCCCAAAACTGACGGGTCAGGCCTCTTTTATTCTGTCCTATGTCCAAACTAAATTGGCCATTCAACCATTGCACGAATTCCTGACGTTCAGCTACTCTGTTAATCTCTTTCTTTGCCCTTCTGCTTCGTGTTCCCTATGTAAATGCATATACTTGCGGGAAATAATTCGTTGTTTCGAACACGCGTGGTCCTAAGTGACCAATTCATTTTGGACATAGCGCTGTCGCGAACAGAGTTAGCCATCGCGAGTTGTCTCGGTTCAGTTGTGCTCATGTTGCGTACCTTGTTCGCGCTCGGCGCTCTTCGAGTACAGATTCTGAGAGAACGTCGTTGGATTTTCATGTGATCGTACTATGTGAGAAATGTATAATGTGTAATCTACCACGGTGGTTCCTGGCCGTGTCCCCGTTCTTCGATACTCCGTCTGCCATCTTGACGATTCAATTTTTCAGAAACGAGAACGAAAGGGACCACCGTGGTAATGCTAGTGGCAAGTAGAAACACTGTTTCTACATCCTAGTATTGTTATCGTGACGACTAATTTAAGCATTGGTGATTGTTTCCCAGTGCCCTGGCTACCCAGATGTATGCCTCGCAGATTGCCTCTCAGCAGCAAGCTACGTACGTTCACCCCTCATACTATTTAATTTACCTAAAAATCTAAAACTTTTAAAATCCTCTGGAAGCATAGCAGTTATACCCAAGCATGCTATTCCGTACATTTGGTATCGTCGTGTGCATTTAAAGGCGTACGAGTAGCTCAGAATCAGTGTTACCGAACGAACCGATCGAATCTATAGGTTAATTTACTTTCTTTTCTCCTTTTCTCTCATTTCTTCGATACCATAAGTAAAGCGTGTACGAATATACATCACGATTTTACGTTTCTTTTTTCCGATCTCTCTCTCTCTCTCTCTCTCTTTCTCTCTCTCTCTTTTTCTCACTCTCTCTCTTTCTCTCGTCCTCATCTCTTTCTTCCGTTTTTCTGTCCAATGTCTGCCGGCCTTCTCTGTTCGGTTCCTCGCGTTTCGTTGAACGAAACGTGTCGCTTTTCTCACACGTCTTAGCACATATGGGGCATATTTGGGTATAGCTGCTAAAGCACTATCACTAATTTCTAACTCCGTTTCTTGGCAATAAATGAGATGCAATAAAGGAGTACTTTTGAAATTTAACGATTTCTTCGAGCCAGGGCATTGGCAAACTTGGGCATGATGTGGCCAACGTGCGAGTACACGTTAACGATACCGCGATGATGGACGTCCGTCGACGAGAGTGTGTTCCTTTTGTAGACGATTTTCGTCTTCTAGTTTTTTATTTTCATTTTTTTTTTTTTTTTTTTTTTTTTCTTTTTCCTTTTTTTTTTTTAGTGTCCGAAGAACGAGAATCATAACTTGTTGTTGGCTTTAGATTCGAAAAGTTGGACATCACGCCAAAGAGCGCGCAAAAGATAAAACCAGTCCTCGAAAGGTGGATGAAAACGGCTGAAGAGAGGTGAGTTGTACTTCTGGGATATCAAATTTCAGATTCAAATCCGTTCCATGATCAGCGCAATGATCGTTAAGACATGCACGAGACACATGGTGCGCGCAATGAGAAAATTACTAGAGGAATAGCTTCGAGTCATAAGTATCTGCATGAAACGATTCGCTTCCAAGTTTTTAACTATCCATCACCTGTCCAAACCACGAATTCATCGTTTCATCGTAGCGGAATATCAAATAGCCGATTTTTCAATCTCTTCGCAAATACTCTGAAATGAAAAAGAGCGAAGAACGTAACCGAAATTGTTTCATCGATTTAAAACGGATAAGACATCCCGGCCCTTTCCGAATTTTCAGGGAATCGCTTCTATATATGACTTAAATCGTGTTAACCTAAATTTACCAATCTTCTAAATTCCCGCGCATACCCCCGAAATTACAAATACCGATCTCATCAAACGAAACGCTTGAAATTTTTAGTAGATTCAAAAATTATTTCCGAACGTAGATTTATCTAAGTCTCGGATGAAATATCTTCCAACATGCCATAAATTCTCTCATATATTTCCCCAAAATCGTAAATATAGATCATATCGGACAAAGTGCTCTTATTTTCGCGTTACTTAGAAAATTATTTCCGAGCATACATCTACCAAAGTCCTGGGCCAAGTATCTTCCTCGATGCCCTAAATCTATTAATATCAAGGAATCTGATTTTTGGGTAAAAATCTCACGATTTCCTCGGGAACGAATCTCCGGCGTAAACCCTTTGACCTACAACCACGTGCGAGGCTCGTGGTCAAGTTTTCGGGTCAAAATAGATTATCACGTTCCTGGCACGTGGTACGTCGGTCGGGTCGAAACTGATTATTACGGGCCTGGCCCGTGGTACGTCGGTCGGGCCAAACATAAACACCACGTGTCACGCCCATGGTTTGTTGATGTGCCCCACGTAAGTCGTGTGCGATTGGTACAACTTAAGGCAAATTTGCCGAGCCGTGGAGTGGCTCGAAGGCTCGGCAGTTCTGTTTACGTTTTGGCACCACGCTGTTGAATCTTAAATCGTAAGGCAAGGGGTTAATATGTGAAAAGAAATTTGGAATTAAAAGATAGATTTTGTCTCGATCACGTTCGAAGTTTTCCAGCATGTCCAAAAGTCCCTCATATACCATCAAAATCGCAAATATCCACCTTATCGGTCAAAATGCTTTTATTTTCTCATTACTTAGAAAATATTTTCCAAGCATACGTCTACCAAAGTCCTACACCAAGTATCCTCCCTCAAGCCCAAAATTCATTAGTATCAAGGAACCTCTGATTTTTCGATCAAAATCTTACGATTGGTTTACGACTCCAAAAACACACCGCCTTGCCGATTTCTTGGGGGACGAAATTCCGGTGTTAATGTGTGAAAAGAAATTTGGAATTAAAAGATAGATTTTGTCTCGATCACGTTCGACGTTTTCCAGCATGCCCAAAATTTCCTCATATACCATAAAAATCGCAAATATCCACCTTATCGGTCAAAATGCTTTTATTTTCTCATTACTTAGAAAATATTTTCCAAGCATACGTCTCCTAAAGTCCTACACCAAGTTTCCTCCCTGATGCCCAAAATTCATTAGTATCTGATTTTTCGATCAAAGTCTCACGATTGGTTCACGATTCCAAAGACACCGCCTCGCCGATTGCTTGGGGAACGAAACTCCGGAGTTAATGTGTGAAAAGAAATTTGGAATTAAAAGATAGATTTGGTCTCGATCACGTTCGAAATTTTCCAGCATGTCCAAAAGTCCCTCATATACCATCAAAATCGCAAATATCCATCTTATCGGACAAAATGCTTTTATTTTCTCATTACTTAGAAAATATTTTCCAAGCATACGTCTACCAAAGTCCTAGACCAAGTATCCTCCCTGATGCCCAAAATTCATTAGTATCAAGGAACCTCTGATTTTTCGATCAAAGTCTCACGATTGGTTCACGATTCCAAAGACACACCGCCTCGCCGATTTCTTGGGGAACGTATCTCCGGAGTTAATTTGTGAAGAGAAATTCTGCATTAAAAGACAGATTTTGTCTGGATCACGTTCGAGATTGCGGTTTTTACGAGGCGTGCCGTTGAACGCGATTATCCAACCGATCGTCCAACAGGATCTCAAGCGGTGTCCAAGAGCGTGTGAACGCGTGCGTGCTAATTGGTAATTCGCTAATTGAATCCACCTGATTAATTGCAGATCCGCGTCTAATAAATACGCGGAATGTTAATTAGAATGGGGGAAACCGTTAGCGGGGCCGAGCTCCGTGCCGCTACAGGTACCGCCGGTTTCATTCGTGTCGCGAAAGAAGTCGCCTATCGGCTTCCTCCTTCGAGGTATCGGTTTTGCCCGTGCACCAACGTGCTCGCACACCGACACCGGCCGCGATTTTCTGCGAACCGCTGTATCAGGGTCCGTAATTAGCGAAATTCAAAGTTTAATTCATCGTACGACCGCGGTTGCCGATACGACCGGCCTCATAACGAACGTCGCGACCGATTTATATTCCCTGGCCACGGGAATTCTTGCGCACCTCTCGTTTTAACGCGTTATTGCCCGTATCCTTGTTACTTCGCTTCTTGCGTGGATAAGTCCGCAAATAACGGAGCCTCGATCTTGTATCATCGGTAGTTCGATGCTCGAATTCGTCGTGGCTCGCGAAATATTCGCGATAAAATTCGCCATTCGAAGGGGGGATATATCAGATGCTGTATTTACGATATTCCTTCGTTTCTTGAAATTATTCCCATACGTGGAATCCATCTCGCGTGCCACGCGACATCCTGTATAGTTGCCGATTTCTCTGCGTTCGAGGGAATTCGATTCATCATCGAAACATCCAGCCACGAAAAATTCCCGGTTACACGGTATTTAGAGACGCGTTTTATGACTCGAATGCTAACACCGCGAAAACGCGCGCGTTTAATTAATGACGGTTTCTCATGCAGTATCTATCCTTCCTCCCACCATCAATTCCCCACTTTAATATCCGCGAAGCTGGCGGACGAGAGGCCATAACTGGCGAATATTTGTATTTAAACCGCCGTACGATGCGCATCTTACGTGATCCCGCGATTAGCATTCATATTCGCGCGGGCAAACGAGCGACGTTTAATTGGCATCGGGATCTAGAAGCGTCGATCGGCCGAATTTTACGAGCCGGCGACGCCTAACACGGTTTATGGTTTCGATTTCACCGTGGTGCTGTTTTATTGTCGGTGAAAAGCGAGGCAAGTATATATACGCGTGTTATATTCCGAAAAAAAAGGAAAAAAAAGGAAATATACAAACACGTACTACGATTACGGGAAAGTGTTATAAAACATACGTGTATATATATGCACGCATATATAAAGGTATATATGTATGCATGTATGCGTATATTTATATATATAGCGTATCGAGGTATGCAGCATGTATCTCGACCGTGAACCGGATGATTCGATGACAGGAGCACGCGGTCATTTCTCTTTCCGCGGCCGAGCCGGCAACAATGACCCATTCCGCATTCCCGCGGCGTAGCATCAACAGATTTTCCCAAAACGAACAAAATGATTTGTTGACTGTGCATTAACACCTTCGCGCGGCGAAACAGCGAATCATCCCGCCGCTATTGGCCCGGAACCGTTTCCCCGTTTAATGATTCGTTCCTTGATTACGCGTCCGTTCAAAACGAAAAGCGAAAGTTCGCTCCGATTTTCCCTTTCTCCCCGTGTCACGCGACTGCTTCCACGGGGGGCGCCGCAAGATGGAGGATTACTCGGACCCCAAATTTTCTGCGAGAAATCGCGCGATTAAATTCGCGAAATTTAAAAAGAAATTTTCTTTTTGCAGAAAGTTTGTATATACTTGTACCGTCATTTTATGATGCTATCTTCGTCGAGTTGTATGTATATATTACATTTCCGAGGAATTATGTTTTATAATATGACAGCGAGGGGGTGTAAACTGCACTCCCTTTATTAATTATGTGCGGTAACTATTTATTGACGCGAGAACCCGCGGTATAATAATCATCGAGGAGGAGTAGAAAGTCTATTCGTTACTGCATCGATCTATTTAATTACCTTCTTAACTGAGGGAATTACAGAACCTCGAAATTGTGAAGAAAGCAACGATCCATTCAACGAGATTATCATACTCGTGATAAAATAAAATAATACGCGTATTAACGCCCGCGACTCAAACCTCCATCTCCCATATTAAACTGTTAAGCCAAAGAAACCCGAGGAATTATGTTTTATAATATAATATTGAGGGAGTATAAACTGCACTCCCCCAATTATGTGCGGTAACGTCTATGTATTGACGCGGGGATCCGTGGTATAATAATTCGTTACTGTATCGATCTATTTAATTATCTTCTTAAGTAAAGGAATTACAGAACCTCGAAACTGGGAAGAAGGCAACGATCCATCCAACGAGATTATCATATTCGTGATAAAATAAAATAAAATAATACGCGTTAATTTGCCCACGATTTAAACCTCGATCTCCCGTATTAAATTGTTAAACCAAAGAAACCCGAGGAATTATGTTTTGTAATATGATAATGAAGGGGTGTAAACTGCATTCCCTTAATTATGTGTAGTAAGGTCTATTTTTTGATTCGAGGATCCGCGGTATAATAATCGTCGCGTACAATAATTCATTACTGTATCGATCTATCTAATTATCTTCTTAACTGAGGGAATTACAAAACCTCGAAATTAGGAAATTATGTTTTATAATATGCTAGTGAGGAAGCATGAATTGCACCTCCTCAATTATGTGCTGTAACGTCTATTTATGGATTTGAGATCCGCGGTATAATAATCGTCGCGTACAATAATTCATTACTGTATCGATCTATCTAATGATCTTCTTAACTGAGGGAATTACAAGACTTCGAAATTAGGAAATTATGTTTTATAATATCCTAGTGAGGATGTATGAATTGCACCCCCTCAATTATGTGCTGTAACGTCTATTT